ATGGCTAACGATTTCAAATTTATGTTTCTATCTTTAATGTACTGTACATTAATACCGAGTAGCGTTATATCGTGCTTAGTTGCTATATCGATTTTCAACGAAAATAAGTTACCACTCAGATCATCAATTAATTCTGTTTTCAACTTTTGAGAGCACGAAGTTATTAAATCCAACACACTCTGCCTATTTACGCCAATGCCTAGCGACTGGAAAGCCGGTCCCGCTATTATTTGGAAGGCGCGTTCTTCTAGTATATTGAGCGGCTGTTTGCACTTCGTAAAAAGTTCCACAATTGCCAACTCAATGTTGGTTACTCGCGGCTTACATTTGGGCACTGTCACATTCACAATATTGTTGCTGTTGCTGTTGCTGTTTCTGGTACTCGTGGTGGCGGTGGAGCTGGTAGAAGCCCTTTTCCTTTGCATTGCCATCTTCTGTTGAATATACGTAGCGTATATATCCGGATGAACCATTTTCAAGTGCCTTTCGATATTGCCTGAGTGTGCATTGAGTCGTTTCCCATTACAATTGCCTTTTCTACAAAAAACTTGATTCCCTTCAGTTCTCTCCACTAACGTGTCCAACATTGTATTCCTCGGGCGCGGCATTTTTCCAAAGTTCTTTACGCAACTCGAGTTTCACTCACCGAAGTCTAAAGGAACACTAAATGTACCATTCCTATGCAATTTTGTATTAACGTACGTGTACCATGTGGTTCCGAAACGAAATATGTATGTACATATTTGAACGAAGCTGGGCTGTGTGTACATACTTTTGTATGTGTGTTGTCTCGAACGCTATAACGTTCCGTTTGTGCACAAAGATTACGTGCGAACATGAATACATAGTAGCGTAAGTATATATGTATGTATATATGTAGGTACATTAGACCGTATCACGATGTATAGGACAATTATTTCAAGAGTGTAAAAATTTTTGCGGCACTCTGTAAAAGCAGTTAAATCGGTTTTTCCTAACACGTTTTTACTTGATGAACAATTTTAAGGTATTAAGAAAGTCCAAAACGGTATACAAAGAAAACTTTTCAGTAAAAATATACGCATTTACCTGATAGCGCACAAAAAATTGAATTGAAGGAAAAAAAATCGACAAATTGGCGCTAAATCGCTAATCTGGACACTCTGTTTCTAAGCTTTCTCTAACAATTTAGTTTTACTTGACAAAACCAGCTGTTGTGTTTGTGTACTCGTATAATGTCGCTCGTTGTAGTTTTCCTTTTGTACCCTGGGCATGCACTTATCTATATACATATGTATGTACACACATATATATAGGTACCCAGTAGGAAAGAAGCGATAGATCTTCGGCAATTTGTGTACATACATGTCGTCGCCTGGGTAAAATATTGTCGTAAGCGTCATACGTACATGCGTAACATACGACAATCTTTTACCCAGGCGACGATATGTATCTGAATACATTAGTTGGAAAGACGATGCATTGTGGAACGGACTTCCGTCATTCCTTGTCAAATTTGGTTTGGAGATAAGCCGATTTCGGCGTTCTGTCATCTTCAGTGACAAGTCATACTAGTACTAAGCATACATTAGTTCAACTACCTTAAAATTTTCCAGTAGGGTGCACATGCTTCATCACTCAGCCGGTGTACAAAACAAACTATGTGTATTGAAAGTTTCATTGTGTTTACTAATTTTGCAGTCCGAAATAAAATGGAATCGAAATGAAATGTGAGAACAAACAAAATTAAATGAATGGAATGAGGGTTTTAAACCATACAAAATGTAGATAACTATATACATATGTACCTGAAAGCTAAACAGAGGTCAGTGCACGGACGCTACCACTTTATTGGTAGATCTGCCAACTTTTTAACTGTATTTTATTTTCTAACATTTTTACCAACAAAGGATAAAAATGTACCAATATTATCCGAAAGAAAGCAAAGTGATTTAAATGAACGCTGTGTATATATACATATTTTGCCATCCAACACACTTACTGCCTTATTATGTATAACGAACGATAGGCAAAACGAACGATTTTCTTGCATACGACAACGTCTGTGATTGCGATTTTGTTACTATATCGGTCGTTTTCGTCTCACTTTTCCTCGATTACGTTGCAATCGTCCTGGTTGCGTTTAAACCGGCAAGAATGATGCCGCTGGATTAATTTTTGAAGCAATCCTCTGCATACGAATCGTTCGTGTTGCATATCTGTTTATACAAATATTTTTCTTTTGCAATACGTTTTTGTGGGAGACTGCCGAACGAATGGTCGGCAAACATCAAGTATTTCAAATCTAATTTTAGTCATGAAATTTAGAAGTGGAGAGCAATTATTTGAGTCCAATTTTCAACTAATACAGGGAGGACTGAATCACGGCATCCGTGATCGAATCAAATTCGAACAGAAATTTCGTTTTGAAGTTACGGCATTCGGTGGGGAGTTCGCTTTTTCATTTTAAATTGTATTTACGAGAAAACAGATATAATTTTTCTTCAGAGTTCCATTCGATCACGGGTGCCGTGATTCAGGCTCAGTTTTATGCATACGTTTTTTGTTGAATGTTTTATTGGCTTGAAATAGATTTTTTGCTGTTTTATAAAAAAGTACAACTTATCCCAAGGTGAGCTCATATAAGGTGATAGCAGAAGGACAGAATCAAAAATTACACTAACAAATTTTACGCATAAAGACAGTAAGAATCACAACAAATACATAATTTTGACATTAAAAATCACGGAGGCGAAAATCCAGCTGCTCGGGTAACACCACTTTTTAAGTTAAAACTATATAATATTGTTTCTAAAAAAATCTACCAACTTCTATCATTTTTTGTATGTAAAATCTACCAATATTAATTTTTTTCGCAATCTGTGCACTGATAGAGGTAGATACATTCATGCATACATACATATGTATGTATGTACATGCGTATGTACTTACATATTTTGTGTGCTGGACGTGGAAATACACGAGAAAGGTGGCATCTCAGACAACCAGTTTGGATTTAGGAAGGGTAGATCGACAGTAGGGGCGATTTCAATGGTCGTCAAACTGGCACGTGAAGCTTTGAACGTTAAAATGTGGCTAGGAGGCGCAAAGGAGTACTGCTTAATTTTATAGAATACGTATAACTCTGCTAGCTGGGCTAAACTATTAGATACACACCTTCAAATAGGCCTATTGAGGTATTGGCATAAACTATTTACGAAATTGAATGTAAAAAGGCCACTTCTGTGAAATATTATGTATGATGGGCTGTATCATAATAAGCTTTCCAGGTTAGGCAACGGCGTCAGTTGCATTAGTAAAGGCCGGGCTAAACGACATTGAACTGTGCCTTGTAGACCATAAAACGGAAGCAGGAGTCAATACACGTGGACCGAAACAGCGTAGTTGACAGCTTTTACCTAGCCTAGTGAAGAGCCAAATACTCTACGGAGCAAAAATCTGGGTAAACGCAAAAAGCCGTAATAAACATCGTCACTGAAATGGAAAAAGTTGGGACTAATAAACTTTTTTTTTTTTTTGCATAAAACGACGGTAGAGATGTGATTCGACGAAATCCTTTATTTCAATCAAAAAGCGAATTTTGAATTTCATATTAGTTGAAACTTTTTGCATTTTAGCGACGATGTTTGTTAGTTCTTTTTGCATTTCAGGTGACGATATACCGTATTTTTGGGCTTCTGTTCTGCAGCGTTTTTAGAACAGTTTCGGACGAAGCCGCTTATGTAATTTCCGGCATAACGCGCTTTTATTGGCGAAAGAAGAAGCGCATTTGCCGGGTATTATGAACACTGCAAGTGAACTTGAACAAAGGGAGCTCAGGAGGGAGAGGCACACACTGAGGGATATAAACTAGCATAGCTCGGTAGGCAAAGAGTTTAGTGGGAGGTATAATAAGGGAAGATTCCAAAGCTTAATTAACCTCCCAAAAGAGAAATTAAGAATACTAACAGATATCATTCCCGGACAGTACAGACTAAGAGGGCACCTACACAAGCTGGGGATATGGCCGAATCAGCTATGTCGGTTTTGCGAGTGGACACCACCGCACATCCTCACCGAGTGTGATGCAGTCTGCGGAAGGAGAGAAGTTAAGGCTCAATGTGGCTCCAGCTTAAGCACATTCACTTTCTATCCTGGAAGGTGCTGTTGAACTTTCTGAGGGATCGCGGTTTAGAAGTATTCTGAAGAGTGGTAGAGAGCAATACATACATCAAAAATGCATTTACAATTTTTATTTTCAAAGTTCATCGCGTGCTGCTTTTAGGTAAAAAAAAAAAGATAAAAAATCAAGAATTTAACTTTTGAAGGTAATTTTAAAGATTTGATTAAATGAAAAATTATCTTCACCTAAAAGTGAAGTTTTTGAATTTTTGTCTGATATTTGTAGATATTTGTCTTCTTTTCTCCAAAATAGAACACTGTGCGGCGTTGGCGGTTATTTTTCTATAACAAGTGCAATTTATAAAAACTGACGCAAATTTTTTTGTTTTTTCGCGTGCGATCTGCGCATTTTATTCCATAAGAAGTTCGTGTTTTCTTATATCAGGATGCGGAAAATTTCGTACACGAACGATTGAAAATACAATTTTCTCATATGTACATAGTAGCCCGTTTTGCGATTGGATTTTACCGCGATAAATACTTAGGCTAGGTACATGACCTAGCGGATTCAAGTCTCGTGATGCGATTCAAATCGCTACTAGCGATCAACTATAAAAATTCACCGCCATGGTGCTATACGAGTTTGTGTAATTGATCGCTGGTAGCAATTTTGAAGGCATCGCGCGTTGCGAATTCGGTGGGTCATAAACGTAGCCTAAGAATTTATCGCGGTAAAATCCAGTCGCAAAACGCGGTAATATGAGAAGATCGTATTTTTAATCGTAAGCGATCGATTTTTTTACGTTTCATTGGTGGATTTAGTGAAAAACTCGTCGTTAAAAGAAAAACTTAATTTTAGCCTGTTTCGTGCACACTCAAATCCAGTTGCAGGTAGTGAGTTACTAACAAACAATTTAGGCCTTTTTCACGCAAAGTGGTTAGTATTCTATTGTTTTAGGAATATGTTTACCTAATTAAAGGTCTTTAAAATCTACAAATTTGTATGCATACATAAGTTTCCTTCAAGGAATGCACTTCGGTCTAGTATGCTAGCGGAACAAAAGAAAATAACAATATATATTTTTTAAGCGAAGTATTGGACAATGTTACGGATTTCCCTTTTTGAAATTTCTTAAAGTATGACATATTTCATGCAATATGTGTACTAGGGTGTTTGATTATTCGAATTTTTTCCAAAACAGGTTTTAGATTTATTCAGAAAATTGCAATTTGAGAAAAAAAACGGTTCTCAATTTTGAAATTAAGAAAAAAACCGGTTTTATTTTGCATAGTTTTCATACAGTGAAAATGCTTATGCTGGCATGAAGTCATGACCAAAAATTACAATAAAACTATTAACCGTAAAGATAAACCATGTAGTAATTTTTAAGTAAAAAACAAAACCGACTTCAATTATCTTATAAAAATTTAAGATTATCGTTAATCTCTTCATGATCCAATGATCGGATTTAAACCACCTTTAAAAAAAGAATTTTAGAAATCGGTTAACGTGGTCCAAAGTTATGCGGTAACATACATATGAAATGAAAAAAAAAACCGTTTTGTTCGATAAAAAAAAACGTCCATGTATATCCA